GTTTTGTTTTGTTCGGTACCGTGGTTATGGTTATTAATTTACATAATCTCAGTTTTGCTACTTAAATGATTATTTGTTCAGACCAAGTTATCTTAAATATTTTAGTTACATAACTATCCATGGTTATTTTGTGTTCCTTATACTCTTGGCATAATATTTCTCACGCTGCCATGTGCGTATAGCTGTTTACCAATTTTCAAGAAACAATGCAATTCAGAAATAGCTTTTGGAAAGTCTTAGACGCGGGTCTGTGAAATAAACACACACAACACTTTTATAATATTTTTATATGTAAATATCGGCATTTTTTGTCAATAAATTTTATAATAAAAATAGAAGCTCCGATGATTATTTTGGTACCTTCACTTAAATATTATTTCCGCTCGCGTTTATTTATTTGTTCAAGAATTGGCCGGAGGTAACTTCAGTTACTGGCCATCACGATACTTAATCTTTGGGTACGAGGAGCGGGTCGTGACAGTTTGCTTATTTTAAAATAAACATTTGGTACCCAATTATTTTATTTTAATTTATTTAATTTATCCGCTTGTGCTACGACTACAAAATTATTAGAATTATTTTATTTTTATCTTATTGCGACGCTGAACCTTTGGGTACTGGGTTTGGGTCGTGACATATATAGGCATAATTAATATTTACTAATGAAGAGTGATTAACACTAATTAATCCAACCTAGTTTACTCAATTTATTCTAATTATTTGGTTCCGAAACGAATTTCAATTAAACCTACCATAAAATTGTAAAAATTCCAAATAACACATAATTCAAGTCAATTTCTTGATCAGACGCCGATAAGACCTTCAATTGACAAAACAAAGCGGAAATATGAACATATATTCCTACGATATACAGATATAAACACAAATAGTACAACACATATGCAATTAATTTAGAATTTCATCTTAATTACTCATTAGGCATCTTTAATCATGGTTTAGTAGTTAATCATAGGTCAGGGTTGTTACAGTTACCATAATTCTTCATATTCTTTTCATAAGGCTTCAAATAAGCATTCTTGGAATTTTTGAACTTTGGGTAAATTATTATTTGCTGAAACAAAATTTACCTTTGTGGTGGAAATGACATTACCCTCTTATGTAATCAATGCATCTTGGCCTTTAGCCTACTCTTGGACTCGAATGCGAGTGATCAACGCCTCTAAGGAAGTCCCCCTTTTGTTTGTAGCGCACGTTCTTTTGGAATTCTCTCTAAGATCACTGTAACTTGTCAACAAGTCCTGCAACTACCAAGTTGTCACCAATCTTGATGATTTCAGATCTTACTTCTGCAACTATCATTTGGAAATCTTGTGTTTTCTCCACAATAGATTTTCCATCCACCATTTGGAAGCAAAAAAATGGGCCAGCTACATACTTTTTTGCTCCTGTCTCTTCAGTATCATACTTAGTCTGTGAAGCTTTTTCTCTATAGAAATATAAGTGGTGTCATAGTAATCATAAAATTGATCAGCAAGGCAATTTAAGAGAGAAAAACGACATTTATACTCGTCTGTATTGTATGAAGCCACTTTTGCTTCATGTGCCTCGTAGTCTTCATCATTCATCTCCTTGATTGAGATTTTGTTTGGGTATTGCTCGGTAAGAACATAAGCAACTTTCAAAAGGTTAAGGTAAAAAAAAAAAAATCTTTTCCACCTCTTAAAATGAACTCCTTTAAATTTAAAAGGCTTGTTTAGATCTCTAATTCCGTCATTGACTTTGTCTGGTACTTGTTCCGTTTTGATCTCCTTAAAATTGTTGGTGAAAATACCAGAAGAAATATATTTTATTGATAAATAGTGCAAAGAAAATGAGATACAAATAGGTCAAGCTGATGTACAGATATCTCGTTTTCTTTAAGGATATCAAGGCTACTGCGGTAAGAAGAACCCAAACACCGATGCAGCGGTCGCTAAACTTTGACTTGTCCTATCTAGGGTACAACAACCCGACCACTTGTCATATGGTTTAGGCCAATTCTGCACAAGATGTTGAACCCAAATCTCCATTAAAAAAAAAACATTCTTCTTTAGTTAGTAATCTCTTAAGTGTAAAAATAGTTGGTCTAGAAAAGAGTAAATGAGAGGAACAATATATAGGCCATTAGGACCTTACAAATTATATAAAAAATAATGACCATTAAACTAGAGAAAATTGAGAGTCCCAAAACCTCCAAATATTAACTCACCACCATGCCCATGACCTTCCAATTAACCTCCATTCATATACAAGATAAAAGGTTACTAAAAAAATAAAAATAAATAAATAAAAGATATTAAAATGGTTCAAGAAAAACTAAGGCTATGTTTGGTAAGATTTTCCAAAACTAATTATACCCTTACATTCTAATCCTATGTTTGGAAAGAATTTTCAAATCATGATTCTAAATTAATTTCAAAACACATTTAGAAAACATGTTTGGTAAACCAGACATTTTTTGAATTTTTGGTCTATTCGGTCGTTCGCCCGAATGTCCGAAACAATACAATTTTTTTTTTTTTTTTTTTTTAATCACCACCTGTTATTTGGAGAAAAAAAAATATTTATTTTTGATATTTTTTAAATATATAAATTAATTTTTGGGGGCATTTTTTTTATAAATCCATTTTTATCCACTTATGTTCCATTTAACCCATATTTTTTTCTTATATTCCAATAAGTTCTATGGGTGGCATAGTTACCAAAATACTCCTAATAATATTCACATTTACAGTATGAATGTTTTGTGATGTGCATGTTCACATCATCAATGAGAATATTAACATGTTAATGTGAATATTCACATTGTAAAATATAAAGATTCACATCACCAAATTGCTAACCGTTTCAAAAAATATTTGTAAGGATAAAAATGTCTATAAAATACCTTAAATATGATAATTAGGATTTGATAGATCAAATGTTTAAATAATAGGACTTATTGGAATACAAAAATATCTTATGGACTAATTGGGATACAAATACTTGAAAAATGATTTTCTAATAAATCTTCCTATTTTTTTAGACCAAAATAACAAATTATTTTTTGAATTGAATTTTAAAAAGAGTTTGGTTATGAGTTTTGAATATAATTTTTAATAGAGTTTTGAGTTGTATATTTGGTTATGAGTTATGAGTTTTTCAATTAAGTTTTGAAAACTCTTTTCAAAACTCATAACCAAACAACTTTTTTCATTTCATATGTCACATCAAAAATTTAAAACTCAATTCAAAATTCAATTCAAAACTCATAAACAAACAAATTTTCTCCTTTTAAATAATAATTTCGAAACTCACAAATTCAAAATATAATTCTATTATCAAATTATAATTTTAAAACTCTACCAAATACTACCTAATTATTTAAAAGTGAAATGATTGTTTTTAACTTATATTTTTTAAAAAGAGTTTTGCAAAATCTCCCATGTTATCACGCATCTTTAATGATGTAGAATCCATATAATTATAATTGAGTATGTGATAAATAAAGATTAACACTTATCATTTTACATCGTTAGAAATAAAATTATGAGAATGTTATTAAGAAGCTTAAACATTTTTTAAAAAAAAAAAATAGTTAGCCCATATATTTCAAAATTACAAAGTAATTTAGGGGTGTTTTGGAAAGGAAAAGAAAAAGCTTGTTTGTAGTTTTTTATCTATTTTAAGTCACATTACTTTTCACATTTTTTATTCATAAAAAGATAAAATAGACTAAAAAAATTAAAAAATTAACTTTTTACAAACTTTTCAAAACACCACTTAGGCTCCGTTTGGGAAGAGAGGTTTGGAGTTTTTTTTTGCTAAAATAGCCACAAAAAACAAAATAGACTTTTTAGCCCAATAAGATAAATCATCCTATCCAATTCATAATCATTACATTCTTTCTTTCACAAAAAAAAGTTAAAAAATCTAAAAAAGTCAAAAATCATTCACAAATCAACCTTTTTAACCTTCAAATTAAAATAATTAAAAAAATTAAAAAATTTAAAACTAACCCGCTTCTCAAACGAAATCTTAATACGACAATGCTACGTAACTCAAATTTTATGGTTCAAAAGTGGCTCAAATGGCCAAAACGGCGTCGTTTTGAGTACAGAATAACATAAAAATAGCCAAAACGACGTCGTTTTGAGTACAGAACAACATAAAAATGGCCAAAACGATGTCGTTTTGACCATTTGAATCATTTTTGAGTCACAAAATTTGAGTTACGAGACATTTTTCATCTTAATATATAGCAACGTACGACCAAACTATTGCGAATTGAATCGTATGTAATACGTATTAGTGACTGAGTGCAAACAGACACGTGTACACCAGGTGGCAATCTGTGGAAAAAAGAGAAGCCCATTAAGGCTTCGTTTGGGAAGCCAAATTTGGATTATTTTTTCCCGATTATTTTAGTCGCAAAAAATAAAATAATTTTTTTAATTCAATAAGATAAAATATTACATCTAATTCATAATCATTACATTTTTATTCTCATAAGAAAGTCAAAAGTCCTTCTCAAATTAAATTTTTTAATCCCAAACTAAAATAACTAAAAAAATCAAAAATTAAAAAATCAATCCACTTTCCAAACCAACCCTAATTAATTAGGCATGATTTGGGAAGTTGGCTCACAGGTTTTTTTTTTTTTAGCTAAAATAGTCACAAAAAATAAAATAGACTTTTTAATCAAATAAAACAAAACATCACATTCAATTTATAATCATTACATTCTTTCTCTTTAAAAAAAATCAAAAATGACAAAAGTTCTTCTCAAATCACTAAGGTCTTTTGGGAAGTGGGTTATAATCCACTTCCCATATTATAACTCACTTCTTTCTCATAAAAAACTGATTATAATCAACTTTTAACTAAAAAATTAATTATAATTATCTTCCCAAAATAATCTTAAAATAATTAAAAAAATAAAAAAAACCAAAAAGCCAAAACCACTCTCCAAACCATGCCTTAATGAAAATGATGTCGTTTGTGCGTGTGAGTGTGAGTGGGCGTGGGCGTGGGGGTGGGGGTGGAATGGAGTGAGGGTGCGACCAAGGCCCTAACATTGGGTGCGCTCTTTTTCAACCGTTCAACGGCCACTTTTGTGTGCCCCACACACATCACCGGAACGAAACCTCTTCTCTTTTCCTTCCGAAAGCTCTCTCCGAGCGCGAGATACCTCTTTCGCTTTCTGGGTATGTATGTGATTGACTATTATGAGGAGTGAATCTGCGAAGGAAGGGCTTGTTGTTGTTGTTGGGTCAAAGATGAAGATAAGGTTGTCTCATAAGCATCAAAGTAAAGCCATCGATCTTCATAATACTACTACTAGTAACAACAATCATGATGATGATGATGTTGATGATGGTGCTCATGATCACCAGGAAGTGAAGAAGGAAGTTGTTTCAGAGCATAGCATGAGATCTGCGGAAGACAATTTGACTCTGGCCCAGTTGTCTAACTCCACCTCTCGTACCCTCCTCCAACCCTCCACTCCCTCCCCTCTCTCCACGGTTTCTCTCTCTCTCTCTCTCTCTCTCACTCTCATGTCTATAATTCATCTCTGTTTCTGGTAATTGGGTTTTGTAAAACAGTTAGATCTGGCTCATTTTTCTCAGGGTAAGCGAAAGAAGAAGCCCAAGGAGCTGAACGATGACTTTTTTTATGTTCTGGTCCAGAAGAAGATGATGATGAAGAACAAGGCTTCTGTCTCCAAACCAAACCCTGTGAGATTTCCGTTTTTTACCTAGCTCCCTACTTCTTTTTGCACCTACTCTGTTTCTCTCCCTATTCTTTTTAGCTGTTAATAACTAGTTTATGCCCACTGTTTCCCTTATATTGGCCCATTTGGTAGATTCCCACTTATAGTTTAGTAATAGCTAACTTATGACTGTGAACATAAGCTGGTTTTTAACTTATGAATTAAGTTTCTCCTCCCCACTCCAAGAATAAGTTGATTTTTTACTTACAAAAAGTTATAAATTGTATTGTTAAGCTGAACCAAACACATGAAAATAACTTAAATTAAGCTAAAAGCTGAAATAAGCGGGCAATAAGCCCTATCAAACAGTGCCATTATTGAAAGCTGACTGAGCTTGAGATTTGCTTTTGTTATACCTTAGTTTTTGGCTGCTTAAACCTTATAAAATAAAAAAGGACAATCAAAGAAAGGAAAGTAACAAAAATCCCTTCAAGTTGCAACCCTCTGGGGTTATAAAGAACAAGGTGTACTTATTTAGTGGTGCTAGAGTATTATTATGTTTTCAACCAATGACTTGGTAGGAAATTTGGTGGCTGAGACAATGGCATATACCTATCCGCATACAAAAATTACTTGTTGACCATCCTTGTCAAGTAGTTGAGAAACAATGATGATATACTCTAGTCTGTTTTGTGGTTCCTCATTAATTCGGAACACTAGTCTACATGTGGTACACTGGGATTTACCTTAGAATTTTCCATAAAGACCGTCATTTTGATTTTCAAGCTTCCACATTTGGTGTCTCTCATTCTAGGTAGTTTTGTTTTTAGTAGGGGCAGAGGGAGGCAAATCTCAAACCCTTAATCTCCTTTTGATGTTTAGATTCTGACCAATGGGGCTGGGCTAGTCTCAATTGGTTCACTCTTGGTAACTTTGGCATAGACTACAGGTGGTGCAATTGGCACATTGTGGTACTTTTTGCAGCAAGTATCATTCTAGGTTGCTTCACTGTTTGCAGCCATTTCTCACTTTGGGACCCCTTATACTTGACAATTCACTTTGAAAACCCTTCCTTAGGCAGTCCTATAGTTGCCCAAAACACGATACCGTTTGGCAGACCATGTTTTAATAAACCAAACTAATAAGGGCTCCAAAATCTCCAAGATTGATGGAGTGAATCAAACAAGCCCCATAAACCTTTAGGATTATGAGAGTAATGCTTTCTGTTTTTTGTTGTTAATGCATAGCCAACTTGCATATGACAAGTTATGAACACAACTGTGCCTCAATTATTTCAGTAGACCCCCTCACGAGTCCTGTTTCACTAATCTATTCTAACCAAGGCCCTATATTTGGTTGAACCACATGGTACCATATGTTTCCTCATGGCATGAACCGGAATCTCCAAAGTCTCTCTCAAGTGAATTTAGTGGATTGCTTACACATTGCGAAACAATCTTAACCTTACTTCAATTTTTGCAATTTAATAAGATTATGATTACCTCATAACATGATTCTTATTTCTTGATTAGTTATGGAGTGCAAAAATAACAGTAAAAATTATAATTTCTTAAACAGGTTGTAGTTGGTCATGCAAGGAAGTCCATGAGGTCAGTTAAATATCTAAAATTTCCTTAATTTTTTCTTTCAACATGTTTTAGATACAGATTATGACAATAATGAATTTGGGACTGTTGTTGAAGCTGTAAGCGACGAAAGACTGCGACTTATGGCTTACATAGTCCTGTCCAAGTTAAGACACCTACAATGATTCGAGCAGAGGAGGTCCAGTCGAGTTTGGGATCTGAATTTCCTAGCTTTACAAAATTATTGGTTAGATCACATGTTGCCAGTTGTTTTTGGATGGTAACCACAAGTCATAAACATTTGAATTTGAATTTGAATTCTTATAACAATAGTGTTCACGCCCGAGAGTTTTCATCTGACCAATTCTTTGGTTGACAGGGGCTTCCTGTTCCTTTCTGCAAATTGCACCTACCAAGAAATGATACTACATTTACTTTGGAAGATGAAAGCGGGGAACAATTTGAACTGAAATTCATTGCAGAAAAGCCAGGACTTAGTGCAGGGTGGAGAAAGTTTGCAGTTGGACACAAATTGCTTGAGGGAGATGTTTTAATCTTTCAGTTAGTTGAATCCAACAAATTTAAGGTAACATCTGGAATTATGTTTCCTTTTATTGATTATTTGTTCACCGTATATATATATATATATTTTGTCTTTGATAGATGAACAACTAGTGAATAGTTGACTACATTCTAGGATTTGTTACTTCAAATTTGTTATATGCTTGCAAATCTAGGTTCATAGTTTTTTATTGTATTCAGAAAACACTTCAGAATTTAAGAGATATGATCAAACTGTATGTACATTTTGTAATAACCCAGCCAGTGAGCAGGAGGAGAAAAAGGCAAATAAAATAAATAGACTAATGTCAAGGGAGGTGGCTTTAAAGAGACCAAAACTCAAAGAACTAGTTTACGAGTTGGTTTTATATAGAATCTCCAATATGAAACTCACAGTAGGAATCTCAAACCACCTCTAACTCATATTGAGAATTTGAGATGTATGAAAAGGTTAGGCTTGGCTAGTTTTCTCAGTAACTGATGAGTGTATCATGCTTGATGTAACAGTGTTTCACGGTTGTAGGAGAACTAGATGAACAAAAAGAGGGATCCTAATTGTAAGATAGTTGATCAAATAGTTGCTAGATTTGAGATCGTATATACAGAGACATAGATACTGGATATGTGTGAATACTGGTTGAAAACAAAAAGGAATTAATGGAGGGCACTGGAGATGCATTGTTAATGGAGGTCTTTTGTGACGGTTAGACGCTAAACAAATGTTGAAAATCAGGCAGCTGTCTTTCTTGTGGAAACCTTCTTACCTTGTTTGTTGATTTCTGATGGAAAGCAGGAGGTCATTTGTCCTTGTGTGGTTGGTTTAAATTATATTTTTTGTTACCAATGTTTAATTTAATCGTTAACCAACTGTTTTCACCATAAAGACTATACATTCTGACTCGCCTTTTGTAGGTGTACATAGTAAGGGCCAATGATTTGACTGAGGTTGATGGTGCCCTTAGCCTTCTAAATCTGGATGCTCTTACAAAACAAAATGATTCAGGTTAGTTGATTTATATCTCTATTTCGCAGACCAATAATAGATTTGCATGGACAAAGATTTATTATTTGATTGCAATTGTTTAATGACTTGATGGTTTTCCATAAATGTTGGAACTCAGGAAAAGATGATTCAGCGAACGGAGGAATAGCCCTAAATAACAAGAAGAGGAAGCGTACAAAGTCTCTTCCATTAGCCCTAGTCCAAAAGAAGAACAAGAAGACAACTGTTCGGAAATCAGTTCCAAAACCCATACAACCTGTGGAGCAATTTGAAAATGACAGTGAAGATGTTGGTTCAGAAGTTCTTGTAGGTCCCAAATCCTCTGGTTCTGCTACTCAGTTCAGAGACATCAAAAGCTTCGATGACTTCACCATTCTGTTTGATGGCTTCTGCATAGATTCCGAGCTTCCAGAACATACACGGGTCAACTACTATGAGCTCTGCCGCAGCAAAAACACATTTATTCATGCTCGCCTTATCCAGGGCCTTAACTGTAAGTTGGTTGCCGGTATTATTTGTGAAACTGTCAACATAGCCAACGACATACGAGCGTGCAAGCTCACGACTTCGCGGGATGAATTTGCAATTTGGGAGAAGACCTTGAAATCTTTTGAGCTTATGGGGATGGATGTTGGGTTTTTACGTGCTCGTGTGTGCCACCTTCTTAGCATGGCCTTTGAATCAGAAGGTGCCCTCGACACTAGGCAGTACATGGAGGCAGAAACTGAAAGGGATAGAGCAGAATATGAGATAAGAAATCTTGAAGCTAAGCTTGTTGAATTGAAAGCGGCTTCTGAAAAGCTTGGCGTTGATGTCAAGGCTTTGAAATCGAAGGCGGAGAGCTATGAACACAAGTTCCAGAAAGAGGTTGATGCTCCATGGTAATATATTTTTGGAATCTTCCAAAGCATTTACTCGTGTTTTTGTATCCTAGGTAATGCCCATGTGTGACAGGAAATTTAGGGGGCTAAACTATGTTTGATAGTAACAATGTAGTGATAAGGCTATCAGGTGTATGATGTTAACCTTTTGATGATCTTATATTAAAAAACAATGCTATAACTTTAAAACGTGATATAGAACCTGTACTTGTCAGGATACAAATTTCAGATCAATTTAGCCTTCATTTGGCATGTCAAGCTTTTTGACTTTTTGACTATTTTAGTTATAAAAAGACAAAATAAATTTTTTACTTTAATAAGACAAAACATCACATCTAAATCATAATTATTTCATTTTTTCTCTCTCGAAAATCAAAAAGTCTATCCCAAATGAGGTTGTTTAGCTCTAAGTTAAAAACGTCAAAAAGTCAATCCACATTCCAAACGAATCCTAGTGTTTATTGATTAATGATTCCTGTGAGTGTGTATTCTAACAAGTACTAAATGCTCACTATTCCATTCCTAATTTCAAATAAGTGTAAATTTTTTTTTTTTTTTTTTTTTTTTTACAGTTGATTTGTTGCTCTAATTTTACATAAATGTAGTTGAGAGGGGCAGTTATGTATGTTATCACTTTTAAATTTTATAATTTATAGATATTTTAATGGCATAAACGAATGTCGAATACAAATTAAGATGTTTAAACTTAATAAAGAGATTATTTTATGAAAAATTTTATTCATACAAAAGATACCATAAGAATATTTTGACAATGTTATTTTTGTAAATAAAATTTATCTGTATGAGTATTTTATTTTAAAATGAAAGGTCTTTACTGATTCACATCATTCTATATGAACTTTTTATTTATATATGTTATAGGTAGTTTTTTATATAACTCAATATGGTATTGATACACGATAACATATTTTAATTTATTTTTCATTTTTTATGTCATGTATTTCATACTTCGGCCTTTTATGTTAAAATTTTGGATCGTCTTTGCAGGTGAACAGTTTTATTTACATTGCTTGTGAGTGCTTGCTCTTCTCTATTTTTTTGTCTCACTTATTCGAGTAAGGCGTTACGGATTCCTGACAAAATCATCGTGATGGATGGAATACCTTTTCCACCTGGCAATGAGAGCCCACCTGATGAATTTTGATTCATTTTGGGACTCAATTTCACAATTTGTTTGTTATGTGATGTTGTGTGTTCATCATGTGAGTGTGTCTCTGCCCAGGAATTATGATGGTTTCGATGGGTTCTATTGAATTTGAACAACCAAGCTACAGCAAAAGCTAATACTGGGAATCATTATTATTACTAGTACTGGTCCCGTGTCAGGTGGATCTGTGATCTGTTTAGAATATCATCCCACCATTGAACTGGATTGCATTCTTGATTGTTGATCTTTATTATTTATCTCCTTCAAGACAATTTTCAGCTCTAATTTGATGAAAACTTTGTCAGGTTGAGCTGGTTTGTTGCCTACCCCATTTTTGGAAAACTGCAGCTGGCAATACCAATCCCAATCCCATGGCCGGGGTTCAACCATAAATTGCATTTACCATAAGACATTTTACTCTATTTCAAATGAACTTCAAAATATGGTGCTTTGATTTTTCTTTTTTTGAATCTACCATGGAACATCGCCTCTCAGTACCACATAATAATCTGCAAGAAATTCCACCCCATGTTTTGGTAGCTGAAGAGTAAGTTTAATCCCTATCGAGACTCGAACCCAAGAGAATTGAAAAATCTGAGTACTTACCCACTGAATTAACCATTCGATAGTACTCAATATATATTTCTAACTTAAAAGGGATGAAAAATCGGAATCATCAAATTTAAAACTCAAATATGTTGTCTGGTAAGAGGATATATCAACTGATTTCATTTTGTCTCATATTTGATTTAAATTTGCAATAAGTCTAGCAACATTGAAATTAATTACATAATTAAAATATTGATGGGAAAGATTGCTATGACTCAAATTTTGGATTCAAATTTCAAATGGTGGTGAACCAAAAAAAAATTTCATTTAACATTCATTGGGCCACTCCGAAGGTTTTGATAATTACCTTGGTGCGATATAGGACAGAAAATTTCATAATAGACTGAGAAGATTAGTCTCAAAATCAAAAATAAAATTGGGAGTGCTTCTTGTTGCGACTTTATTTTCTGAATAATTACATTAGTGGTTGTCTGATTTTATTTTTATTTGTTTTGTAGTGGTTGTCTGATCTGATGAGGAAAGCATGTGAGTCCCCATCATTTTGGTTCTTGAATATTAAGAGACGAACAGTGACTTATTTATAGCATGAACGTAGTAGGACTCAGACGTTGACCGTATCTATATGGATCAAGATTCAATTTTCAATTCAAATATCACAAACTTGTTTTATTGCTAATGACTAAGGGCGGCACATGCAATGCAATTTCTTCCTCTCTTTTTATTTTTTATTTTTTATATATATAAAAAATGCTGAAAAGTAGTTCTCACGGCAGCTGTTCCGAATACTAAAAAATATGTACGAAATATATTAAAATATGTAAAATATAGATCTTGCGAATAAATATGTTGAAGGTATAAGAAAAAGACTACATATATTTATACATAAAATCTCAACATTAAATAATGTCAATGAGGACACTTGTTAATATTTGTCTACAAAAATATAAAATTATTTTAAAATATGTGAAAAGTATATTTCAATTATAAATATTTTGACATTTTGTATATCTTATTAACAGTGTTTTAAGGTTGTTTTCATTTACTTATTTTTGTTACTAACTGTTCAAACAGCTCCTTTGCTACAACAAAGACGATAAAATCATAGAGTTATTTATCAGCTAACATGTGTTAGTTCGAACTCTTAAATCTTATTATTGAACCATCAACCAAATTTTCATCACAAAATAGAGTTTCACACCGCATTATCGCTTTATTTATTTATTAATCAGACATACGAGTGCGTCTTTCACATCTTGTTGGGAAAAAACTAGGTATTTGTTTGAGATATAGCAAAATTAATTTTTCAGTAACATAACAGTGAGATTATGTGCAAAATTCATCTCTTTTTAACTTTATTGACAGAAATAATTATATGAAAAATCAATATAATTATATTAATCTCACGGCAGCTGTTCCGAATACTAAAAAATATGTACGAAATATATTAAAATATGTAAAATATAGATCTTGCGAATAAATATGTTGAAGGTATAAGAAAAAGACTACATATATTTTTAAAATTTTAAATATATTTTTTTATTTTTTTAGATGCACCTGACTTAGATGTATCTAAAAAGTAAAAAAATTGTAAAAAAAATATTTTAAAAAATTAATAAATACATAAAAATACAAAATATGTATGGAATTCTCGTATTTTTTTTTTATATTTTTGGTATTTAGTGAATTTTTAAAAGGTTTCTTTCACAATTTTTTTACTTTTTAGGTATATTTATGTTAGGTATGTCTAAAAAGTAAAAAAAAAAAAATTCTTAAAATATTAAAAAAATTCAGTAAAAACAAAAAAATACGAAAAACAAAAAAGTAGAATTTTCTGAAAAGAGTTTTTGGAAAACTCTAACCAAGCATGCTGATTAAAATTATAAGAGTTTTGTTAATAAGTGTCCATAGAGTACTAATTAATGACCAAAAAATTTAAGAATATAAGACACTTTTCACTAAATTCAATAATTTTTACTGAAATCAATACATGTTTTAACATTTTCACATATTTTCAAGACACGTTTATACACTTCTCAATATAAAACAAGAGCCCTGCTAAATACCCCCAGTGAGGGTCGCACCCCCAGTGAGGTGGCGCGCCCCCACTGGCTGACAACCAAAAAAAAAAAAAAACAATTTTTTTTCGCCCAATCACGGGCCTCTACCTAACTGGGGGTCGACCCCCAGTGAGGGTATAAAACATTTTTGATAAAACAATGTATAGGGAGCATTTGTTAACATTTGTCAATTATAATACAAACCATATACCATATATGCTATCATCCCAATAAGTGACTTCAAAAAAATATTGAACTTGAGATTTCAAGGTTTCGTTTGATTAGAAATAAATAAATTACGAAAAGTGAAAATAGTAAAAAGTGAAATAAAAAAATAAAATAAAAAGAAAATATATTTTCTTGCATAAATTTGATTATGATGAAAATTTTGCAAGAAAATAGAAGTTTTAATTATAAATAATTACTTTTATAACAAATTTAAACTTTGTTGCAATTTTTTTTTTTTGGGGAAGAAATTAGAACCTTATTTGCCATGCTATTATAAGTTGTATAAGAAAATTAACTTGCAGGTAAGTCGTCATTTGGCAATAGTTTTTTTAGTTGGCTTTTTAGCATGGGATTAAAAGCTTGTTTCATTTGGTTTTTTTGATTTTTATTTTTATTTTTATAAGAGAAAAAGTGAAATGATTATGTTTTAAATGTTACTTTGGGCTATTTTGGAAAGCCATCTTTAACGTTTAACCCATTTTGAGTCCCATCATTTCTCATATTATTTTTAACGTTTTAAAAAAAAAATCAAAAAAGTCAAAAAATCAGTTTTTAACCATTTTATCAAAACAATTATTTGTCTTATTAACTTATTTAACCTATTTTATCTTTTGTATATTTTTAACCAAAAAGTTGAAGCCAAACAAATCCTACGTTTCGCCACTTTCATGCTAAATAAAGGATAATTCCTGGTAGCTCGAATAATTGGCTCGAATTTTGGCTCGAATCTGTAAAACGACGTCGTTTTACATTTTTATTTTTTTTTCCCTTTCTTTTTCTTCCTTTTCTTTCTTTCTTTTCTTCTTTTCTTCTTTGTCTTCTTCGTTGAAACCAGGAACAGAGGGGAAGAGGAGAGAGGGAGCTCCCCCGCCTCCGCCCGCCGTCCTCGTCGCGAGGAGCTCGTCGCCTCCGCCGCCTTCGCCCGTCGCAGAAGCTCCGATCGTCGCAGCCCCGCGCAGCCCCGACTCCGGCCCCGACTCCTCCTCCAGCCATTTTTATGGCCCCCTCCCCTCCCTCCTCCTTCCTCCTCCTCTTTCTCCTACTGAAAACCTCCCCTCCCTTCCGCTTCCTCCTCCTCCTCCTCCCTCCTCCTCCGACTCCGACGAATTCGAGCCAAATTCGAGCCTCGAATTCGAGCTACGAATCATCGCCGCTAAATAAATTCAGGATTTTTTTTTTGCCCCCTCACTTTTGGAACGTCCAATGGCTTATTTCTAAAACATCAACCTTGTTTGGTTTGTATTTCTCAAAAAATTTTGAGAAAAACTCTTTACAAATAAGTTTTCAAAAGTAATCAAACCAAACAAATTTTTTCAATTTTTTTTTCCAAAACTTGTTTGGTTTACAAATTTTCTAAACAAATCTCTCTCTCATACACATCAAATCAATCACTTTTTCTAAAACTCTCTCTCAAAATAATTTTTCAAAACATCTTTTGAAAAAAATCAAACCAAACAAATTTTCGTACTTTTTATCTCAAAACATGTTTCTCAAATACAAAGGCTTATTTTGGCAACATAGTTTTTAGTCACTTTTTTTGGTTAGTAGCAAAAGTCAAAAGTTGGCTTTTTTTGGCTTTTTTTTTTCATTTGGGAAGTTGGTTTTTAGCCAACGGTGAAATTACAATTTTACCCCTCATTGGTCAAAATGTGTTACATAGGTGAAGTTGCAAATATTTTAAATAAATAGGGGTAGTTTAGTCATTTTATTATGATTTGACATCATAAACAAATATTAATCAAAAAAGTCAAAAGTCACTTTTTACCAACTTCTCAAATCATTTGTCTAAAAAAACCAAAAGCTTGGTTAAAAGCCAAAAAGTCACTTTTTATCATCTTCCCAAAATAAGCCAAACCAAACAATAAGTAAAAAAATTAAAAATAAATCATATCTAAAACAACTTAAAAAAATATTAGAAAACTTAATTTTCTTTTATCATTAAAATTCACTTTTATCACTAAAAAAAAACTTAATTTTATTGAATATCTCACTTTTCAAGTTCATAACCTCTTACCAGTCCACCACACCCCTTGAACTATTAAGACTGTGTTTGGCATGAATAGTTTGGCTTAAAATAGTTACAAAATGATAAACTAGACTAAAAAGTTAACAAGATAAAATGTCACATTCAAAACATAATATTTTTATTTTTTCTCTTACAAAAGTAAAAAAAGTCAAAAAAAACCCATTCAAAACAAAGCTTTTAACCTAAATTAAAATAACCAAAAAATTTAAAGTCAATCCACACCCTAAACGATATTATAAAAATTCATAGTGAGAATTAGGATCCTCTCCTTACTCTCTCTTCTTGTCTCCTTATTTTCTAAGCCATTAGGCCCATTTTTTTGGCATAATTTCGATGATTCGATCCATTAATATATATATTTTTTTAT